CTGTAGCCCAGTCACTCAGGCCTACAGAGCTTTCAGTGATGCTCTTCAATCATAGCTTCCTAGGAAAAAAATTGCATTCCTCAACCAGCTGCAAAAACCTTTGTGAATTTTGAAATGTGCTGTAACACCAAGGCACAGCTTTCACTTTGAAGGTGAATGGTCTCCATTTCCAATTAGCAAAATTGTTCTTTTAACATTTTAACACGAGTGGCTGCCTTCAACTACAGGCAACCACAGCAATCTCCCAGTGAGCAAAGCAATTATAAGAATGACTGTGGTGCAACACTCTTCACGACAGATTTCAACCTGCTACACCCAAGAAATCGCTTGATAACCATTTGGAAAATACACTTGTTTCTTTGCGACTGCCTTTTATATCATGTCCAATATGAAAGGCAGCTATGTTCATATGGCCCCACGTGAGAAACGTCTGTATAACATAATTAGTAGCACAGTGGTTGAATTTTGATGGGGTAGAAATGGAACACGGTAAGCTGTGCACGTTTTAGACATGATGACTGAAATGACTGATATACTACATGCATCTATCTTTTGTATTGGAGACAGATATCTGACAGATGCGGCTGTTAGCATAACTAGCCAGCCTTGTCACTGGTATCTATGCCTGTGACCTATCAGGCCTGTCAGTTAGTGTTGTGTTTGTTGTACAGCACTTCAGAGTCACACTGGTAGCCATCAAAGATTTATGTAACGTTGACGAGCTGAAAGCATTTTGTACTGTACGGGAGACACGGCATGAGATTGATTGACAATGGTCTATAGCCAATCAGGACGCAGAACACAATGCACTGTGAAAAAAACAAAAGCAAAAACACATGCAAAATTGCACCAAAAAAATCAGCGAAACAGCGAAAGGTGAACCGCGTTACAGCGAGGGAGCACTGTAGCTCCAAAGGCCCATCCACAGACGAAGCTAGTACACATCTGATTACGTAGGTGCCTCTCAAACCATCGCATGTAAAAAATCGACAGTTTCTTTGCCTTAAAATTAGCCCTAAGGAAATACAGTGGTCATCACTTTTTGCAGTGCAGACAGAAAAAAAGGTTAAAAGGTCTGAAAGTACCTAATGTTTCTTTGTGTTTATAGCTCCGTCACAGGACTCACGTATTTGTGAGTTCGGGTGCTGTAGCACAAAATCTGAAAGTATATATATCACAGGGGTTTGTATGGAAAGGAGCCATGAACCACTAACCACACAAGTAGAAGTCAGGCAGACAGCAGCCTGCGAGAAGAATGATCTTTGATTTCTGCTGCTTTTCAAAGTTACATCAGAGAAACAAAGTGTTATTGGAGGAGACATGCTGACAGGGGGGAATCGGGAGCAGCGATGACGCAGGGAGGAAGCCACTGAGAATGACAAGACTTTGATGCTTTATAACACCAACACTTCAAGTATCTTCCACCTGTCTCAGCCGTCTTTACACACTGACCCGGCAATAAAGAAGCCGCTTCTACCTCCAAAGGAAAACAGCAACATTACGATTCGTTCTGTGGCAACAAAGGTGAGGCCTCTGAGTTGAGGAGCTCCAACAAGGAATATTTAATCATTAGTCAAAGTCTCCACATTCACAGCAGTCTGTCTCGGGAGGAGAGCCGGTCTTTGTTAGTGTTACCATGGAGCGCTAACAGGACTGGGTGTTCTTTTTAACAAGAATTCAACACATGAGCGGAGGCTCAGAGACTCGCCACACCAATGCTAGAAATATTAATAACATCACACATGACTAGCTTGTTCCACCACATCAATTATCTTTTTTCAAGACGCTGCTTTGTGTTAAAATGAATTTAGATTCTGTGATATTATCTTAAGAGAAAAACAATTTATCATAAATGTTATCAGCATTTCCTAAAAGCTAATGTAGTAACACAACTGCACTAAATGCAATTAGTTTAACAAGATGATTAAATGATTAAATTGCCTGGAAACCTTTAGAGTTTTTCTTTAATCGGACGGCGATTAGTCAAGCTGAGCAATGCAGAAATTGGGTGTTGTAAGCAGCAGGTGGACTGTGTATTCTTCCACTGCATTAGCCTGGACAGCAAGGTAAACCTGCTCACCTTGATGGTGTGATGGAGGTGTGCTGGTCACAGTCAAGTGCCTGTCACCTGCAGGCTTCTTCAGCTCACGGTGGCTTGACTGGTTTGTCACTTGTAGTTTTTTTAATGTGATGCAGAAGCAGCAGGACATGCTGGATTTGCGTCAGCAGTAACTTAACGCAGCAGTAAGAGAACAGCAAGCTGTCACATTGCCAAAACAAGTTTCACACCAAATTAGAGGAAAACTTCTACATGAAAAACTGGAAATATGAACACCAGGCTTTTTCTACAAATCACTGCACTGACACTGGTGCATAAATACTACATGTGGTTCAAAGAGACAGTCTGTCCCTGCGTCAGGATCAATTTATAATAATAATCATAAATTGCATTTATATAGCGCTTGTCGGGGCCCTCAAAGCACTTTACAATGCCACTATTCATTCACTCTCACATTCACACACTGGTGGAGGCAGCTACGGTTGTAGCCACAGCTGCCCTGGGGCAGACTGACAGAAGCGAGGCTGCCATATCGCACCATCGGCCCCTCTGGCCATCACCAGTAGGCGGCAGGTGAAGTGTCTTGCCCAAGGACACAACGACCGAGACTGTCCGAGCCGGCAACCTTCCGGTTACAAGACGAACTGCCAACTCTTTGAGCCACGATCGCCCCCGTCTACACTTTAATCAAAAGTAGACGGTTATGTCCATCTGGAGTAACTTTGTTTCTTCCCCTTCTTCTTTGTGAAATATGTACATAAGACTGAGGCAGGGAAGGCAGCAGCAATACCTCTGTTCAGAACAGAGCACAGAGTAAACAGATGTAAGTCAGATATGGTGTAAAAAGGAGGAACTGGGCTGGAGTTGGGTTGCAAAGTGGCTTGCAGACACAGAGGAACTATGGGAAGGCTAAAGCAGTTTAAATAGCAAGCCGTACATAAGATTAGCCAATTCGATTTGTAGCTAAGCCCATCAGCCGTGTGGGATGGCACTGAAATGCTTGGCTTGAGCTCGACTTCTTGGCCTGCATGAACTAACGCAGGCGTTGGTTCCATATTTGCAGCTCTGTTCTGCGACTCTGTTCTGGCACCAAGATTTCCTTTTAGCATCTCGGTTGTAGACTGAGCTTAAATGTGTTAGGACCACACACGGATGCAAACACACAGTTTGGCTGCTCTCATGTAATCATCACTCAGTTTCTGTTGTCATACAACAAATGACAAATATGCGCAAACAGTGATTTGATTGTGTCTCATAAATGTTGATTTTACATCACAGTCAGACAAACCATACACACTGCTGTGACAGATCCCTGCTTAAATAATCATTTAAAAATAATCTTTAGTGGTACCAGAGAGCAGCCCCCAGCGCAGACATATAACATGGTTTTAGTTTGCACAGTGAATGATTGCTCCTCAAAGACAGACTAATCCACACACACACTCTGTTTAAGATTCATTCCTGAACATGTTCTTCAAAGCTCCTGGAAATGTTAGGCTCTCTGTATTGTGTCTGTTTCTGATGTAGCTTTATTGTTTCATTTCAAACCCTAAACCTTGAAGATAAAGCAAACCCCTACAAATGGAATCAAAACTCCGGCTTCATTTCACGAGTTATAACTAGCTCAGCTGTCCAAAACACATCAAATGACTGTTTATAACTCGGATTTGTTCAGTAAACATTTGTAACTATGGAGGGATATTTCTTTAGTCATAATACCATCAGATATGTCACAACTACCAGGAGATGCATCTGGTCTCTGATTGAGGAATAATTTTGAAAAAGGTAAAACACATGAGAAAATAAAGCAAAATAAAACCAAAGTAGAAGCAGTATTAGGATGTCTTTGGTGTGATGATAGTAATTAAGCAGTGACGTTCGTGTCAGTTTATCATATCTTTAGAACTTTAAGTAAGACGATTTGGAACACGTCGTCTCGATGTTCTCAGAAAGTCTCACAATCATGTTTCTCCTGCTGAGGGCTGTGGTGACGTCATCAGATAAGATATCAGTCTCTGCAGTCATACAGAGTACAATAGTGCAATGAAACTGGAAAACTGTCCGATGTCGGCACTGCGTACGACACGACACAGTAACTTAAATTAAGTATAAAAAGAAGAATAAGTTTATGTGTATTGCACATTATTATTGTTGCACATTATTATAATTATTGCGCCTTGTTGCAAATATAAATATTATTATTGTTATTGCTGTTACCCCCCCAAAAGTCCAGGCAGGTAGCCAATCAGGTCAGCTGTTAGCACTGATTAGTAAAAGCTGTCCTTGAGTCTGTTTGTCCGGGACCTCAGCAGCGTGAACCTCCTGCCAGACAGCAGCAGCTTAAACCCCGGTGTCCTGGGATTTTTTTTTGTCCATATTAATGACGCTCTGAAGTGCTGTGTTAAATGCTCTGAATCGATTTGCAGCAACATGTTAACAGATGCGATAGAAAGTGTGCAGTTTTACCCTCTAATATCCTTTGAAGTTCTGTATCTGTGGTTCTTGGACAGCGCCATGTAGAATTGTCTTGCTTTGCTTACATTGGTAAGCCTTCTTCTCCAGGTTTTATACATATATACATATATTGCTACATTTCTCATTGTATTTTTATGAAGTTGCTAGTCGAGAACCAGGTCCAGTGCTCATTTAAACATTGCATCATAACTCAACTAGTGGTCCAAACCACCACTGTGTATGGTTAACATGTGAGACCATGACATGAATTTTAAAAATGATCTTCTGAGCTGCACTATTATCCATGCACAACACTTGTTTCAGCCTTTCATGTTGGTGATGTACAGTATTATGGTCACAGGGCTGGTTTATGATTCATGTTTATTCATGCATTCAAAGCAGATTTTTCAAGGTTTCCATCTGTCCGTTCACATCTGCCTGCTCTCTGCCACTACTAATAAGACTGACGGATGTTGCATATTTTCAGGGAAAGGATGGTGCTGGGCTGTTTTTACGGCTGGGTGTGGCTACAGGCATGAAACAGCTTTTGAAAGAGCATGTTGTTATTGCAGGACTTAAAGCAAGTACAGAGATGTTTCTCTGTCAGTTCTCTTCATCTGACTCTGGTTTTGCTCTCTTCCTGCCCTCATCTCCGTTTCTTTCCCTTAGGCACGCCCAGCTTCATCAAGTCCCCCGAGGATCAAACGGGGATTTCGGGAGGAGTGGCGTCGTTCGTATGCCAGGCGGTCGGTGAGCCCAAGCCTCGCATTACCTGGATGAAAAAGGGAAAGAAAGTCAGCTCCCAGCGCTTTGAGGTACGACGCGTGAGCTGGCCTCAAAGCTCCCTGTCTGAAGTGTTTGAATGTGCAACACCTCCTTGTCTCACACCTTCACTGCTCATTACCTGTCTGCATTTGTGTGATACAGAGCAGCAGGTCACACGCTGTCATTTTATAGAACATATGCAACATGCCGCTCAAGAAGATGTGTGTGCATTTAGCAGGAGAGAGGCCAAACTGCAGACTGGTGGTGTATTTATTCATTACTACCATGCACAAAAAATCAGACACAGCAGCTTTCTCCATTTAGTGCCTGCTTGAAAACCACTTAATGCAAATTATGTTAGTTGTGTTATTCTAATGAAAACACTTGAGGCTCAGAATTAGAGGAGGAGGTGCAGATTTTGATGTCTGTGGCTTCAATGGTGGAGCAGAACTCTAATAACCTGCTATGGCCAGCACATCAGGTTTATTTAGTGTGTGTGATTTTGCTCAAAAGCATCTCTCACATGTCTATGTTATGAGTGAAGCTTTTAAAATTTGACATTGTGAAATTAAATTTGGATTGAGTGCATTTCATTTTGTTCAGCAGAACAGCAAACAATTAAAGCTCAAATATCAAAGTTTTATTTCTCACTTTGAAATGCAGGAAAGAGGTTGTAGACTTTGTGAACGCTGTGTGTGCTGGAAAATGATCTGAAACCAGACAGAAAAACTGTGGAACTAATGATTTCTTTTTTACATTTTTGACTGGAGATCTTCTCATTAAAACATCTGAAAAAAGAGGGAAAATGTCCGTCACATTCAGAGGGCCTGTTTTTATTCAAAGCTTAGAGATATCTAAAGCCAAATGAAGACCGCACATGGGCTCAGTAATAAGCATCGTGGCTTCTTAGTGAGAGGGTCCCGGGTTTAAACCACAGACTGTATGTGAAACATGGACGTTATAGTGGCAGTGTCCATCTTTAATATACAGACTATGGCTCAAGCATGGCTTTTATGTGTCGAGGTTACGTGTTTACGCCAACGTCTCCAGTCGACTGAAACAGGGCACTGTTTATATCTGCATTACACTTGGAAGCCAGTTTTCAGGCGTTAGGCCGGGTCAAATGCAGGAAATAAATGTCCCTGCGGACGGCAATACACTTCCTTTTTATTACAGTTATTACTGAATGAGTTCTGCACATTTTTAGACTTTCTGAATGCGCTCTCTTGCCCTTGAGACGACCTCTGACTCATAGGAGCCCAGAAAAAACACTGACGTACCAACAAAGTTCATATCTGCTGATCTCAACTGGATCATTTGTGTTTCTTTTATTTGTAAAAGGAAAAAAAGTGTATTTTCACCTCTCTGTGAACAAACACGACATTTTAATGACAAGTTGAAATACCTTTTGATTAGATATTAAATGTCTTTTCTTTATTTGCATAATTCTGAAAAATTCAGTGAACCGAACCCTGATTATCTCGTCTATCAGCATTAGTACTAAAAACAATAATTAAAAAATACATGCATGGTGACATTTTGAATCAGCGTAATTTAGATACATGTGCAAGCTACAAAACGCTGGCAGAAGATAAAATATGCAGAGTTAAAACGTCTCTCTGTAGTTTTTTTAATGTAACTTTAGGCTGTGTGACCTTTAAATACGTTTTGTAATCATGCACTTTTTTTTTAAAAGTACATGATTACAAGTCATTTCCAGTAAAGGCTCAGTGTCAGGATAGGACCTGGGTTTAATGGGTGGAGTTGAGCTTAAATTCCTTAACATTTTTTGCAGTGTGTTTGAGGATAGACGGGGTCTGGAAGGGCTTTGCCTATGGGATGTCTGTGCTCTGTCTGCAGCAGTAATTAGTTGTGCAGTTAAAGCAACATTTACATCAATGGCAGGACAACGCAGCCAACCCGTGCAGCTGAAAAGTGTGTGCTGTGTGGTAGCAACAAAAACCACAATTCTTCTAAATTGCCACTTGAGGCTGGCTTCAAAAGCGCATCAATCTGCACCGACTCCCTTGTTAAAGTATGTTTACAGCCTGCTGCAAAACAGGGACTGATTCTTTCACAACGTAAGTGAAGAAAGAAAACTGTCATCAAATAATAAGCAAAGTGCATCCTTCTGTCCTCAGAGGTGAATTAGCACTAGCCCTGCTATAACCTTGATCTTTTGAACATTTGACCTGACTTGAATGAAGATGGAAACGAACTACCAGCAACAGTTGTAGCACTGAACTAATAATATGACCCATTATTTGTGTGATCAAACCTATAAGTCAAGCCAGTCAAACAGGACTGCTGCATACGAGGTAAGGCTATGTTTTTCTAGTTATTCACAGATTTGTACGTTTGTGACAAAATTAAATGAAGTGAACTTTGAAGGATATTTTTTCATCTACTGCAAAATGGCTTCTATACAACGAACAGAAGCACTGAGCAGAAAGTCGACCTTTTATTCATGCAGCTGCATTAACACACACAGCAAAAGCTTAATAAATAGGACTGTACAAGCCTGGCTGCAGGACTCTGGAGCAGCAGGAAGGCTCATTAGCTGCCAGCCAACCCAAATGACTTCAGCTGAAGTGACTCAACATGAGTCCTGCGTAGACGGAGACACTTGGTTCCTGTCGTTGTGAGTAATAGGAATTATCTTCCACCTGTCTGCTCAGCATTATTTAAACTGATGGCGACCCTGTGTGTGGTGTGGATGCACCACCTCCCAGTACAGAAAGACAGTCCCTCGGTACTTTCACTTACGTTGTCTGTTATTCTGTTTTATTTGATTTCTGCAGTTAAAAAGCTTTAATCTTGGTCTATAAATAGCCACAGCCCAACTATTTTAATCCTCATGAAAATATCCTTTCACACAGGGGTCATATTTGCTCACCTACCTGTTTAATGTTTTGTTTTTCATTAGATGCTCCAGATTTGTTCAGACTTTGCTCTTCACATCGTCACAGCACATATATTCATGATACGTTATATATCTATATTTTACAACTTACCTGAATTGTATTGTATTCATTATAGTTTTAGAAATTGAGCATGCAGACCGGTGAGTGTCTTTCACTTCAAAATTATAGTAGCCTAGTATCTGGATATGTTAGCTGTAAATTTCTCTCTTTGGAAGACACAAGATATGTGCACGGTGGGAGAGTCCTGAGCTATCGGCTATTGTACTACAGAACACGTCACAGCACTTATATTTCCACAACCAGACGATGATTCTCTTGAAAAAGGCAACAGCAGCACATACAAAGGTTAAAGATCTAGTTCAGTGATAGCAGCAGCGAGGCATAGCATGTCCTTAAGCCCAGTGTCCACACTGATGAGTTATTAAAGATAAACAATGATTCCTGGACATCTTCGAGTGTTTGTAGGCAGCTTGAAGTAAACAGTACATGAATGCAGGCGTTGACATTTCAACCAGGGCTCGGTTTTGGTTTCAACATGCAGAAAATGTCCTTCGAGGTTTGTAGAGTATCTGAGTTTGTTTCAGCTAACAAAAGAATTTACATGAGAGTGTGTAAGTGTGCAGCGTTAGATATGAATGGCTAACAGAGAAATGGCAGTGTGATGAAAACAGTAACAGCTGAGAACAGAGCGTCTAATCTGGTTTTCAGGTTAGGTGAGTAAATCCGTCAGTATTCCTGTGATAGACAGAAAGGTTCACTGAGTGATGGGTGAGTTTATAACCTAACTCTCCTTTTGGAACAAGAACAGACAAACCAACGCTGTTTTAGAAGAGCCTCAACAGTGGACCGTGTTTTGTTTGTTTGTTTGTTTCTCTGCTGCTGCTTGACGTTGCTCGGCTCCTTGTTCTAAGGTTGTCTTTCCTGCAGCCTCCATGTGTGTCAAACCCCACTTTCTGTACGCAGGAGCTCTGATCTTATTCGTTTGAAATAATTCTACGTCTGTACAATGGATATATAACTGGCTCGTGCCACGCGGAGCAATGGGAATGATTCTCCTTTGGGCTAAGAGTTAAACTGATGGCTTCCCTGTGTGCTCGCTGGATCGACCTCCTACTGAGGCAGGAAGAAAGTGCAGCTCCACACTTCCTTCATTGGGGCAGGAATTTGATTTCTGCCAGTCCACTGCTTGGGTCGCACGCATTTCAGAGGGGAGGAAGTGCCGTGACCCTGACTCTTAACCACAGCCCCTCGAACATTTCTAAAGCCCTTACATACCTGATATCCAGTCAAGTCTGTTAGCACATTTGTCCTTCAGCTCATTCCAGGCATTCTTTCTTTTGCTCTTTGAGCTGCTGCACTCTTCATTTTTTTTATTTCCACCTTATTGTCCAAATGATTTCCCTCATTTCTCACTCTTGTGCTGCTTCCATCAGGAGCTTTGGGGCAAAGTGCTGATCTGGTGCTCTGCTTGCAAACAAAACAATCAGAATGAAATCTGGCAGCTGCCACTTCAGTTAATCCAAATCTTCCCTAAAATTAGACGCGCTCCACCTTCGACTGTAGTGACACTGAAGCCTCGGTTTGGCCGATGCTAATGGGACGCTGAGGGAACGTCCCCATCCAGTGACACCATATCACCTGTGACACACACACACGTATGACTTTGCCAGTTTCAGCTGAAACAATTTCAGTGTTTCAAACCATGTTCCAGAGTTTTTAGTTCACCGTTCATGAGGTTTCAAGAAGAAAATGAAAGACAGATCTGAATGTTTGAAAGTGTTTTGGAAAAACTCTGTAAAGACTAGAGGAACAATACTCAAAGGATAAATTCAACTGGTTTATTTTGTTAGATAAGTTGAAAAAAGAGTTAAACAAGCAAGTAAATAAAGAAAGTAGGTTAAATGAGGTAAGAACAAAAAGTTAACAAGTAAGTAAAGAAACAAGGTAGAGCAGAGAAAACCCCAACAATCCCCTCTGAGCAAGCACTAGGCGACAGTGGGGAGGAAAAACTGCCTTTAAACGGGCAGAAGCCTCCGGCAGAACCAGGCTCAGGAGGGGGGCAGTCAACTGCCGGGACTGGTTGGGGGGTGAACAGAGGTGGAGCAAGGCGAGGCTACATCAGTTGAAGAAGCAGTATTGTCCCTCTTCCGGAACAAGCTGAAGAATCTTTTCTTCTTTTTCATGGACTTTTCCACGAGCGCCTTTTTGTCCAGGATGAGGCTTCTCAACTCATCGATGGTTTCTTCTTTCTTGCTGTTGCTCCTTCTCTTGAAGGAGGTCTTTATTTTGGCGCAGTGTTTGGTCCAACCTTCCCTTCACCATTCTGTACTTTTCCTGCATGCCTTGGAGCTCGCGCTGCAGGTCGTTTTGCTTTGTGTCCTGTTCTTCCTTCTGTTGGAGGACTTCTTTATTTTTGTCTTCAGCTTCATCAAGCTTTCTTTGGAGCAGGTGATTCTGTTGGTCCATGTATTGGAGATCCCACTCTATCTTATCAATCGTGGCTTTCCTGCCTTGAAGCTGCTCGGACATTTCTTTCACTTCAGCGCTCTTTTTCTTGTTTTCTTTGATGAGGAATACAATCTGCTCTCTGGCTTGAGCAAACTTGATCCCCCAGTCCTCATTAATAATGTTGATGTCGGGCTGGCGCTGTAGTGTTTCTTCCAGGTGTTTGTTTTGTGCTTCCATTTGTAAGCACTTCTTCTCCAGGTAAACTTTTTCTTTTTCAATTTGTTGAATTTTGTTCTGGAGATGCTTGTTTTCATTCCTACTCTCCTGTAATGCCCTTTGGATGGATAAGAGGCCATTTGGAGAAATTGGCCGGCCACGCAAGGAAGGAGGGGCGGCGTAATCGTTTTGTTGGCGTTTGTATCCGATGACTCTGAGAGGTTTCCGAATCTTTCTGTAGTGAACGTTTGAAGGCTGCGAACACAAAGGCTGCGATGAAACGAACTAAAAATTGCTGTTTCTCAGCCCTACTTAAGGAAAAACTTCAAAGGATCAAAGATCCTTGTGACATCATCACTCCTAAGCCAATCAGATTGTGCAGTCAAAATGTAAACTAATAGACGCTGAGCGTAATAACAAAGAGACAGATTTCACAGCTGCACCACGTCTCTGAACAGGTGCCATTTGTGGTCCTTATACAGACACAGTACGTATCACTCCGCGAGGCTCCTCCTCGGTAGCCGTAATCCTCCGACAATCCATCAAGCGGTGCCGCTCCGTAGCTTAGCAAAGTCATATTAAAACATTTTTTGACAGATTGCCGAGAGCTGTGTACCCAACCCGTTCTCACTCCCAAAGCGTAACATTTTACGCTAGGTGACAAATCGTCAACATATTTCGTTTTCGGCTACCCACCACGTTCCTAAATGACGACCTCGGAAAAAGAGGAAATATGAGAACCATCTGGACTGAACCAACACATGTTCGCTCTTTTTCTTCAAATCGCTTAGAAACACGCTATTTAACATCATTAAAGTCCTGGTTAAGGTCAGGAATAAGGTTATGGTCAGGGCTAGGGATAAGGTTAGGTTTAGGGCTGGAATACAGGGCTGGAACGTCTATTACCGCGGGAGCGTCATTGCACTGGATTCCAGCCATAACCCGCCGCGTACCATAAGAACGCCGAAGGTCTCCTTTCGCGTTCCTCAGGAACGCCGCGGGACGTGACAAAACGTCGACATGTTACGCCTCGGGAGTGAGAACGCTCTGGTGTACCACATAAAATCGGTTCGCGGTCAGTAAGCACAACCAGAATTCATACATAAGGCGCACTGTCGATTTTTGAGAAAATGAAAGGATTTTAGGCCCTGCATGTCGTTAGCGCGGTTAGCTCTTAGCGCGGTTAGCTCGCTAACACGTTGACGCCGTCCAGCCCCACGCACAGGGCGATCCGCGGTAACTCGCTAACGGAGATTTTCCGCTTTCATCTTGTCATTGCCTGCAGGTGAAGCTATGGGGGAGGCGGAGTTGTGTTCAGTGAAGGAGAGGCGAGGCCGAGTAACGTTGCGTAGAGACAAAAGTGGACGAAAGAGAGGCAAACCTGCGGCTCCACAAGTATAATTATAACGTAACATAGACTATATCGATATAAACGATATTGTCACATCTTATATCTCGTATGAAAATATATCGATATTTTTAAAAAACTCGATATATCGCCCAGCCTATGGTGTATTTTTTAAACAGTTTTCAAATTTAACTTAATATTTAAGTGTTTCTTACTTGACCCGCTTAGTCGATTAAAAAGTTAATTGCCACGAACACCCCTAATGTTATATAACAGACCACAGAAAAAAGACAGCTTTTTTCTACGTGACAGAGCTGTAATAAATGTTTTGTTTTTTTTAATGATCCTACTTTTTATAAAAGGGAACATTATTTAAAGAATATGTATTTAATTAAAAAACTCTGTATTCATCTAAAGGGTATAACAAGAAGGGTGAGCTTCCTGCTCCAAAATGAAATGACCAAAATAAATGTATTTCTCTGCAATTACAAACTCTGTGTAAACAGTCTTGGTGTCAAAATAAAGCTAACACTGGTGAGATGTCATCAGAGCTGTAAATATTACTGCAGATGTTACTATGTCAAAGTTACTGTGACTCAAACATAGAAAAATGTTTTTTATTTCCCTCACCTAATTTTTAAAAGTATTTTATAGCATATAACACCTTTGAAAATATGCTTTGGTTCCCATTTAACTCCAGAAAATCATAAATCAAAATATGGATATTACCTGTCCACAGATTCATGGTGACGTAACTGCTCTTTTAACTGTTTGGTGTCTTTGCTTTGTTTGGTGTTTGTAGAACATGGTTTACATGAGCTTTTAGCTGAGATTCAGAGGTTTCTGTGGACACTACTCATGTCAGCACTTATATTTCTGACCTCGTGTTATAATCGATTAAACGCGATCTCCTCCCTTTTGCCCCCATTTTTGATGGTGTGGGTACAAATGATCAGGCATGACATTCTCATAATAAATCAGATAAGATACTGCAAATAATTAATCCTGCATTTGTGTGATTGAAAAGTGTGTGCAATGACACTGTTTTAAAGATTTAGCCTAAATCATTTTGGCGTGAATGAGCCTAAACATGATGACTTTTTAAAAGTGTTTACATGAAGATGTGATGAGACAGTCTTTCTTTGTCTTCTATTAAAAAAAGAAAATGATAAAAATAAAATCTGTTTGAATATGTATTTTCGAAAGTGCAATTTAAGTCTGTTCATTGTTTTGTTTTGTTTTTTTAAATAAAGTTGTCTTCTGCAGGAAAACAACAACAGAAACCTGTTTGGACAAAACTGGGCAAATGTTTGGAAACATTATAAATGATGAAAAAGGAAAATTCAGCTTGAAACACTGAACAAACTGAGTATTAATAATCACACAATGGGATGTAACCCGTTTGAATGTCACATGTAGTATTTGGAGGTTGATTATTATAGACTAGCATTGTAATGGATGGAGTGGTGCGGAGATGTTTTTGTTCCTCCAAAGGTCATAGACATGAATGCAGCCCACCTTCCTCCGAGCACAGTGGTGTTAGTGTTGTGAGTTAAAATGACGGCTTTTGCAGAAGTGGTTCCTGCAGTTGTGTAAATGTTTGGCATTTTAAAAAGGAGAAACTTCTCCTTATAATCAACTAGCACTCTTACATATGTTGCACACGTCTTAAAAGCGTCCTGACAGTCTGATAATGTAACGAATCATCTGGATAGCTTAAACTGTTTTGTCAGTTTAAGTTATTTCTGATAAAGACTGTTGATTTTAGTGCACCAAACTCATAATTCTCTGCATATGTAAGGATTGAACAGTTATTTCAGACTAGCGATACTAGGATACTTCCAAAGCTGTCTTGCATTCCTAAAAGCTTTAAGTTAACAGGCGTTGTGTCACACCCGCTCTTTGTCCGATTCAGGTGATTGAGTTTGACGACGGCTCAGGCTCAGTGCTGCGTATCCAGCCGCTGAGGACCCACCGCGATGAGGCCATCTATGAATGCACCGCCACCAACAGCGTGGGAGAGATCAACACCAGCGCCAAGCTCACTGTCTTAGAGGGTAAGACCTGACTGTCTGTCCACATCTCACTACCACTCTGACAGCCGTGACCCTGTGTGGCTCTGACATCACAGCTTGTCTTTGTGCATACGGTCAACACGGCGATCTCTCCTCTTCACTTCCTCTTTGTGTTCAGTTTTAACCATGTAGTTGGTCTTTAGTGCAGAACGGTGTTACAGCAAAGACAATAAAGCTGTAAATGACTGCAGGTTAATGGCATCTGTAACAATGAGCGCTGGTACGCTGCAACAGTGGCTGGTCCAGCAGCGGTTGCATGTTAGGGATGTGAGTCTTGACTTTCTCCCACACAGACTCGGAAAAGAGGTGATGAAGTGTGGAAAAGATCATATGGGGGGTATTAGATTTTCTTCCACTGAACAAACTCAGTAAAGACCAGAGAAGCTAAAGGGCCTGTGGTCTGTTTGTTTCTGGTTTTCCTTTCTTCGTGACATTCTGCGTCCAACGTAGAAATTTAGATACCCCAACATAGTTCTGATGGCCTTGAAAGCTCTTCCTCTGGAGGTAACTGTTTCTGACGGTCCACAAACAGGAGCAGTTTCTGCTGTCACGGAAACAGCAGAGACGTTAGATGATAAGGTTCTGGTTTGGTAGCATTAACCCTTTAAAGCCGGTCGGAGCGGGCACGCTCTGTTTTGCGCAACTATTTTTAAATCCCGGTAGCTCTGCAACCACGTAAGCTAGCGCAATAATTTTTTTTGCATATGAAACCGGAGGAGTTGTACTTACATCTTATGCCATCAGCTTGTCCTAGGTCACAGTTTCCTTCCACATAAAGCTTTGCAAAAACTGCATAAAAAGCGACTTGCAGCAACAAAAACATAATATTCCAGAAACACGCTTTGCCGATCCGATCAGCTGTTCATACACTTCCTACGTTGGAATAGATCAGCACGAACTTTTGCATGTCCGCCATTACCTGCCCGAAACCGGAAGTGACGTCATTTTCGCGGAAATGTAGTTTTTTTTTTTACCATCAGGGCCTCAGGGCCTATACTGGTGTTTTTAAAAGTTATCTTTGACTTTATGACTTTCTGTGTCGTTTCTGGGATGCTTAGGACTCATATTGCACTGCTGGAAATAGTTTATTTTGATGCATATGCTGCTTTTTTGCAAATTTGCAGTATAATATTTATTTTCGTTTTTCCTGCAGTGTATAAAAATTGGTGTATTTCAAAAATAAAACTATGAAGACACTCAAAATAAATTTCCTGTGGTGGGAAACTATTTTGTGCAACTTTTTTGTATTTACAGTTTTGAGGGATAAGCCTCTTAAATTTCTCTAACTAGAAATATATGTTAAAAAACAAAAACGATTTTCAATTTTTTTGTAGTTTATTGCATTTTTTGCAATTTATGTAATTACTATGCACTTAATGCAGACATATTATTAAATTTGGGCTATAATGGTTGTATTGATGTATATCAACTTGAAATGCTCCCAAAAATGGCTCCACAGCATGTAAAAATATAATATAAGCTCTGGAGGACTTGGTTCTATGGTCGGTCTTAAAGGTTAATGTGTTTGTTCATCTTTATTTTGTGTTTGGCATTTATAACAAGTGGTGGAATTTACATTTGGAAAGAGTCTCAGAGTTTCCACTGACCCTCATATGGAGGAGTTCTCCAAACTCAATGACAAATTGCAGTGTTTCACATTTCCTTCAATTGTCTTTAATATAGTGGCATCAATGACTCACTGGTTACTAATTTTGCTTTGATTTTGTTGGCATTTCACATTAGTAGTAGTTCACATAGGAGTACACTGTCTGTTACTTATCTATTTTTCTGCTTGTGTCTTATTCTGAGTTCAGTCATTTGAAATGTTTGTTTTGTCTGTAGTTGCATTGCAGCTAAACCCGCCGTTGCTCCAGTGGCTGTGCTACAGCAGATTTTCAGCTAAGCTCCCTGTTTCATGGAACAAAATGTCAGTCTGTGGTTTGGCTGTTGGATTTGTAAGTCCCAAACAAGGCCCAGTATCTCTGTGTGATCGTGTTTATTGAGCGGGAATGTGTTGAAAGTGATTTTGGCTGGGAACCTCCTGTAGGTGTGTCTCTAGACAGCTCTGTTCTTTGCCAGCGGCAAGATGGAGCCCAAACACATTTATTTAATTGACACTCTAATTGATAGACAAACAACCACGCAGAAAAAAGGGCTGTCTCTCTGGCAGCCTTTTCCAAATCACTCAGGAACCCGTTATACTTATTCTGCTATGTAGATATTGTCAGCAGTAAACACAGCCTGAGGCTCTGGAGCCTGTTGCAGCAAACAAACAGGACTTTTCTCTCTAAAACCACTCAGGGTCTTGTTAATGAAGAGTGATGGGCCTGGCTGATAATCACTGTTAGCAGACTGATGTTTAATAGGTTTTATTTTCAAATCATGTACACGCATGTCAAACCATATCATCAGAGTGGAGATGCCAGAAGATGTTGAAAAATGTGACTATTTTCTAAAAAATGCTACATGTAAATGACCCCAATCGCAGAGAAGAAACACGCGTGAAGCTGCTAAATCTGAAATGTATCATAACAGAAACATGTATTGATTATTCTGTGTTGTGCTTCCATCTTCTCACATTTTACAGGCATGATGGAGCCGTTGAACCGGACGATATATTTTGCAGAATTGTCACATGCATAGTAATAAACCACGAGTTAGCTACACAGTGGCAAAGATGATAACTGTAATATAATTTCTTCAGTCGCAGTCAGGCCATGAAGATCATATCTGACATGACAAACACTGTAACGCTGTCTCCTGCTCATTTAGTAAATGGTGTTTTTTTAGGTAAACACGTTACTGCTGCTGACTGTTCTCGTCGGGGGAGAATTATTATTTTTGGATGATTTTTGTTGCTTTACTTTCAGTGTAGCGGTTTGTCACTCAGTTAACCTGTAAAGGGCATTTGTTGCCATGGTCGGCACTTTACATCCATTTGCATTCAAGTGTGGGACTTTGGGATTGGTTACTGCTCACCTGCTCAGAAATTTAATCAAATGATTTGTATTTTTAGTAATATTGTTTTCTGAACTTTCGACCAATAAGGTTGAGCAGTTGTCATTTGTCATCTGTGAGTTTTTTGCATTGGCTTCCATCATACATCATTTTTGCATGACTTCATTTAGACGTCTGCTTTCTTTAAACCTCATTTCAGAAATAATAATCTTGGTAATCACAATTGCTGAGTAGGTGCCTTTTTACCCACTCAGCCGGTGGGGTGTTGTCGTCCCACTGTCAGGCTAGATCAACGTGACGCGGGAATTTCAAATTCATTTTATGGGTTCTTCAACTTAAAATCTAGGACGGGGTCGGATTTCAGTGAGCTCGGCCTCAAGGTCAAAGTCAGAGATCAGGTTTTCTGAAAATTTTGTGAATGTGACAACTCGGGAAGGCAGGTACTTCAGATCCTGAAATTGATACAAGGTCAGAGGTCAAGTTTTCTGAAGATCTTGCGTATGTGATAACTTATGAACAAGGTGATGTAGAATTTTCATCTTGACACCACAGGTGTGTCTACTACAAACCTCGAATGAGTTTGAATCTCAGCACCACGGCCTGGAAGTGCAGGCTCAGAAGTCAGGTTTCCTAAGATCTCGTAAAGGAAGTGACCCAGGACATGAGACCGTAGCTGAACTAGGTGTGAAAGTCTCCGTTTCCCAGAAATAAAATAACAAGCAGGAAGGTTGACCAGCTTTTACTAGTTTGTGTATCTGGTCATTTATTAACTTATCCTCTACGAAAGGGGAAAAATCTTTCAGTCTGACTTTTTGGGGGTTTGTGTGTCCACTACAGAGGACATACATGAACAGGCTGGGCCTCAGGAGGATACGGTAACAGCTGTTTATTCATTTAGATGCTGTGGTGTGTCTTACATCACGTGGATCCACACACACATTGCTGATTGTTAGACTAACAGTGGCTGGTTGGAAAATCTAAATGTACTGCGCAGTGTCAGCAAAAAAATGTTTTTGTTTGCTTTCTCAAATGCTTCCTGTTGTTATGTAGGTTTGTGGTTTTACTTATTTATTGCTATACAGTAATTGTTTTCCATTTACAGTCTCTTTGTTTATTGTGTTTTAAAAAGTGGTCTGTCAATATTGAATTATTATTATGATCAGGAAAAAACAGGCATGCTGGCCAAATTCCTAATTCTGTATTCGCAAACAAAAATTAGTTGTGGAGCCAAAACTTGTCAGGGTGATGGTAAATATGAAAATCAAAACAGCAGGGATTTATAAAAACAAACAAACACCAGAACGACTGCAGGTGTGCAGGGTAAGTTGCGTTATTTCAGGGTCTAGTTAGCCCTACTGCAGAGGAGCCCACGTAAAGTGGCAGATCATTTCAAATGTCAGCTCAACAAACATCAGCAAACACACAAACTGTGTGTTGCTAGCTAAAGGTCCAGCTGCTGTAGTTCACAGCGAGAGAAAAGAAAGAGAGCTAACTTCACTCTGAGATGGAGAAAGATAAGAAAGATAGGAGAGGAAGAAGAGAGGAAGAAGGTAAAGACTGCTCAGTGGTGTTTGATGAACTGGAAATGTAGAGCTTGCATGTAAGTCCTCATGTTTTAAAATCAGATATTGGTTCTGTGCATGTCACAGTGTGTGCAAATCAAACTGAGGTAGACTAATTGTGTTATTTAAGGCTTGCATTGAACTCCTCTGCAGTTTAGTGCAGGATAAACAGGTTAGTTTGCTGCACTGTGATGGAAAGAGTAAAGACCAGTCTGTGACTGGTGCACAGTGGCCGTGGTTTCATGCTCACAGTCAGCTTACATCAAGAGTAGGAGGGATTCATATGATTTTTGCTGATGATGCTGAGATTCATTGACTGAATTTTCCCTTCATACCAACTTTAAAGTGTCTAATGTGTTTACTGAACCATGGAAATGAAACATCTGCTCACATCTGGTTGAATTCAGGTGTACATCCACAGAGAGCAGCAGGTCAGCTGATCACCGCTGGCACACTAAGAAA